GATTCTTGGTGTGTGTGTGTGTGTGTGTATATATATATATATATATATATATATATATGTATACACACATATTCATATGCATGCATGTATATATATATGTATGTGTGTGTGTATGTTTCTTAAAGACTCTGTAGGTCTTGAAGGTGGCAAGGGGCTATTGGGGTAGGGGGTGGGGTTGTCATGGTATCTTATCTGTTTCATGTTCCATCTGCAGAGGGGACAGAGAGGCCATCAAGAGAATAGCTTACGAGTTTGTAGAGACAAAGGCTGAAGAGGGAGTGCTCTATGTTGAAGCCAGATACAGCCCTCATCTGCTGGCCAACAAGGGAGTGGATCCTCTTCCTTGGGACCAAAAACCGTATGTGTACCATATTTGCTCTAATCAAAAGCTGTTTTATGGCATGTATTGTTTATTGTTCTTATGTTACAACAATCATGCTGGTTTACATTTTCTCTTGCACAATAACCCTGTTCTTGTTTTTGTTCTTGCCTGTCTTCCCCTCTTCCTCCCAGAGGAGACATCACTCCCGATGACGTGGTGGACCTGGTAAACCAGGGGTTCAAAGAGGGAGAGAAGGCCTTCAAAACCAAAGTCAGGTCCATTCTGTGCTGCTTGCGTCACCAGCCAAGTAATACACTCTCACCTCTGCTCCACCCACCCCCACCCAGTGTGCTGTGTGTTTGAGAGGCAACGCCTCACTGTCATCCTTCATTAAAAACCCATTCATCCACAGCCACTGTATGCTTATGTCCAAATGGTGTTTAATCATCATGACACTGGCCGAACCTCCTGCAGATTGGCTCAGAATTTTTTGTTTCCATCTTAAATTCAGTCAAGATGGACTGTTTGGAAATGCTGTTGTGAATTTGGAAGTCTTGGTGATTCATGTGTAATGTGTTTTGTAAATAGAGACACTATTCATGTAACCTTTGAAACTGAAGAGATCTGTCACGTACACTGCTGGTCAAAAGTTTTTTTTTTTTTTTAAGTATCTGTTGCTCACTTTTATTTGATCAAAATACAGTAAAAACACTAATACTGTGAAATATTATTTCAATTTAAAATAACCGTTTTATATTTGAATGTATTAAAAAATGTAATATATTCCAGTGATGGCAAAGCTGATTTTTAGCAGTCATTACTCCAGTCTTCAGTGTCACATGAGTGATTTGTTGCTCAAGAAACAGTTATTATTAATATTATTATTAATGTTGAAAACAGTTTATAGTATTACTTAATATTACTGTGGAAAAAGTGATACATGTTTTCAGAATTTTATGAATGGAAAGTTCAAAATAACAGCATTTATTTGAAATTTTGTAACCATTTTTTACTGTCATTTTGATCAATTTAATATATCCTTGCTGAAAGAGAAAATTACCTATTTATTTAAAAAAAAAAAAAGAATAAATAGACAATCTTACTGACCCCAAACATTTGAACAGTGAAGAGTTAAAAGTCATCCATTCGGAAAGTTTAAATTCTTTCATTTTGAAAAAAGCAAAACAATGCCACATAACATATATAATATTTTTGAACATATCAATGATTTTTGTACAGTGTACAGTTACACTTGATACACTTCTATGAGTGGTGCGCATTATATTGGTGGCCAATATTATATGTATACAGGTATTATATTATTTTGCTGTCAGTTAGGCCAATATTTATTCCAATCCAAATTGCATCTTTTTATGTGTGTGTGTATATGTATATATATATATATGTTTTATTCAAATATAGACACTAACTATAGATAAAACTATAGATTGATAATACTATAAATTTAGAATATTCTAAATCATATTACAGAATTATTGAATTGTCCATATCATGCAATTATTGGGTTATATATGCAGCATATATCATATGAGGAAATGATAATACACCCACATCATTGACTTTTACAATCTAATGCTTATTGTTGCTGTAGATTGGTCTATGGACGTGGTCGAGCTGTGTAAGAAGTATCGCAAAGATGGAGTTGTGGCAATAGACCTAGCAGGAGATGAATCCATGAACTGTGAGTCATACCCAGGACACAAGAGAGCATTTGAGGTAAGAAGACACACACACACACACACACACACACACACACAGTCTATATGAGCTGTGTTTGCGAAATGTTTTCAGCATGAGAAACCAGAAAAACGTCTCTGGCTGCATTTTTCTCTGTGGACCATCTAGATTAAACTCATTTTTATTAGACCTGTTACGAAACAAGTTTTGCAGAATTTGACAGAACATACATGATAATCGTATGTCTTATCAACGTAATGTTTTGTCAAGGTCTTTTTCCCCTGGCTTCCCTGATAGTGAACTACCTAGCAAAAATTAATCACTTTTTTGTCTATTTGAAGTGCTTTACATGTACAAGTCTAACATCACAGTAAAACCGTTTGATTAGTTGATGTATTTAAAACTTTAAGAGATTTAACTGTACTTTGTTGACTTGGAAACTCTTGTACAATCCATAATTTAAAAAACACAGACACAGAGACATCTGTTTATACCATTCACATGCTAAGAGCCGCAGCTGAGATGTTCCGGAAACAAAACAAGTTCCTTATTATCCCGTGATCTTAACTGAATCTTACAAACACAGTGTTTGAAAGCAATATCTTTTGTTTAATGAAGCAAGCATAATACAGTACATGCTACAGATACTGTGTTTGGATACTGCTTGGTGCTTTTTTTCCCATCTGCAGGAAAGCAGATGTTGCTGGCAGTGTTCTAGCTGTGGGTTCACGGTTTTGTTTTTGACAGGAAGCCGTCAGAAGTGAGGTGCACAGAACAGTGCATGCAGGAGAAGTGGGCTCTGCCAATGTGGTGAAGGAGGTACGAGTTTCCTCTTTTGCTCAGCATTTATTATCATGTATTCAGCAAGAACACAAGAACCACTCGTGTGCTTCTCACGAAAACATAGCGATTCACTATCTGATTTCTGTTGTACAGATGGAAAATTGTGTAACACTGCTGAGTCTGTTTTTAGCTAGTTATTCTGTGAGGAAATTCTGTCTGTGAAGTACATTTCCTTCCCAAGTACTAAATCATAAAAGGCAGATATTTTAGAAAACAACACAAACCCTCAGCTCATTTTTCTAAATGTCACTCCACAAGAAAACACCCTCGGATCTAAAACTATGTGCCAACTCTTTTCATAATGTTCCCTCCCTTTGCAGGCTGTGGAAGTTCTGAAAGCAGAACGCATTGGACATGGATACCACACGCTTGAAGATCAAACTCTATATAAACGACTGCTACAACAAAACATGCATTTTGAGGTAAGACAGGATGGCAGCTTCCTGACAGTCACAGAAATCACATTGAGATACACACCCACATACATTTACATCATTATTAGTCAGATAAAAATGCCATTATCGTCGATGACTTTACAATTCATCATGTATATCTGCATGTTGCACAAGACCTTGTTCTTGGTCAAAGTGCTCACATACAGTAACGACCCAATATTAGGGTCAATAACAAAGTAGCATCTGAAAACAATGATGATAAAGCTTTTATCAGAACTAATTTCACTTATCTGAGGCGTTTTTAATTACTTTTAACTAAGTTTTGTTTTTACATACATTATCTTTCAAAAAAAATTTGTCACAGATAACCAGACCTTATTGCATTCATGAAAGCACTTACTTCGCTGATATCTTTCTTATGTAACAGCTCATGGTTTCATTAGCTGTGTGCTCCATGACGTGGGGCCCGTTCTTCGTACGTCGCTAACTCAGTTAGCTGGATTTGATTGTTGACAATTTGGCATGATCTTTGATTGTTTGGTACTTTGAAGCTCATCCGTTGCTGTCATAGCAGCAGGTCTGTCAACTTAAACCTGCTGGAGAGCAGGCTTATTTCATGTAAACAGGATTAGATTGCATCTTTTTAAGCAGAATTGATACTTAAAATCTGTCCTCTACCACCGCTACTTTATTACAAGTGTACCCTACTGATCCAGGGACAATAATTTTAAATAATAATCATTTAAAAATGAATTTAAAGATAATATAATAATGTTGTGTAGGCTTTAATACTATAGACACAGCCAGTTTTACTCACTGAAAGATTTATTCGTCATAAAATTATTACTTCATAATTGTATTCGAGTCTTACACACATGCTATACAGATAATGTAGAGTCGTGCATTAATTTGAGTGATGACAGCTGAGTGGCTTGATGGAGTGCAGGAGATGCAGATAACATGATCTTGACCCTTAAGAAACTTTAATTAATGCTGTCATGTAACAAATCTGTTCAAATATAACATTAAATGAATTGCTAATAACTACATTGAAATAAAAATGTAAAGCCTGTACAAATATTAGAAATCGTGAATATAAATAATTGGGAATCATGTTCAAAAAAATAAAGAAAATAAAAACAGTGCACATTTCATTTATCTATTATAACATTTATGTAGTTTTGTTCGCTTGGCTGTTTCCTTATAAAAGTCCAAAAATTTGTCAAGTTTTTCGTCAGGTGTCTTTTTTAATTATACGATGTCATTACGTTGCTGTCTTGCCGCCAGCCAATCGCTGCATTGCTGATCGTGGTTTCGAGTATCGATACATAGCCCCTTTTAAACCAACACATGAATGCGCAATTATCTCAGATAACTCAATCCAGCCGTACTAATCATCAACAACAGCTGCGTTCGAAGAACCGAATTAGCCAGATTCTGATTAGTGCGATGATATCATCTTGGATGTGACATTTCATCTCGGATGTAATAAGCGACGTACGAAGAACGGGCCCCTGAACTGGGTGTGTCAGATTAATGAGACATATAATTTGTTTTGATGAGACAGAAACAGGACTGAGAAACACCGAGTGGAAGATTTCCTGAAACATAATCCCATGCTGCCCTCTGGTGGACAGTTTTAAACATCTGTGTTTATAAATGTGTCACTGGACAGTCTCTGTTTACTAATATTTATATTTTCGCTACCAGAATATTTATGAGATGTTTAAAGGAGGTTATTAATCTACACTATGTTTAGTGTCACTGTGTGTTGTCTTTCTCTAGATGTGTCCTGTCTCCAGCAGACTGACAGGAGCCTCTGACCCAGACTTCACTAAACATCCTCTCGTCACGTGAGAATAGCTTTATTTTTAATGCATGTTCCAGGTCTTACTGTGAATTACTTACAATTTAATGGTGTCTGTTATTCCACTTTTCCATTAACATCAGTTAGGCTATTAGATAATAATGTTAACAAACAAATGGCAAACTTCCATTCAATCTGACTTCTGTTGCTTTTCACCATCTAATTCATTTGTGAAGGATAAAATAAAGTACTACTGTGCATTCTTCCTCAATGCCTATCATGTTTCACTTAGAAATACGGCATTATAGAATTAAAATGGACAATTTACCTTGGGCTTTTCATACTGCACTTAAAGGGATAGTTCACCCAAAAATTAAAATTACCCCTTGATTTGATTCTCACCCTTAAGCCATCCTAGGTGTATATGAACACAACCGGAGTTATATTAAAACATATCCTGGCTCCTCCAAGCTTCATAATGGCAGTGAACGGCCAATAGAAGTCCAATAAAGTGCATCCATTCATCATAAAAAGTGCTCCACACAGCTCTGGGGGGTTAATAAATGCCTCCTGAAGTGAATCGATGCATTTTTGTAAGAAAAATATCCATATTTAAAACTTTATAAACCGTAATCTTTTGCTTCTGCTAATTGTCGTATGCGTGTACACAAGAGAGTGGCGTTCCCCACATTTGTAATTTAGAAGCGGGATTAGTGCCGGGTCTTGCCATTTTGGCAGTATAGGTGGCAAAGGTGGCCAAAATCAAAGGGAGTGTGAATCAGTTTAACCCAGGATTCTGTTTACCCGGGGTTTAAAATGATCCAGAGTTAACTAGTTCAAGTTTGAAAAGTCTTGTGTGTTTCAGATTCAAGAAGGACAAGGCTAACTACTCCTTAAATACAGATGACCCTACCATATTCAACTCCACCTTGAACTCAGACTACCAGGTGGTGCAGAAATACATGGATTTCACTGAAGAGGAGTTCAAGAGACTGGTGAGACACAATTTGCCAAAACAGGCTCTCTAATGGACTCTGGTCATGGCTAAAGTGACTTGAATTATCCTGTCTGCTTCTGTTTTCACAGAATATAAATGCAGCTAAGTCCTGCTTTCTTCCTGCGAAGGAGAAAGAGGAGCTTCTTGAACAACTCTATGAGGCCTACGACATGCTGAAAAAAAACAGGCTTTTGAGCTCAGTACTGTTATAAACAAGTTTGCAGCGAGCAGAGCCTTTCAGGACATTTGCCTTCTCACATGATTGTGGATCCTGATTCCTTGAAACTGGAGAACTCGTACACACATTTCTCAGCGAAAGTTTTACACAAAAACAATAAAGACCACACATAAAAACTTTCAACTTTAGAAGTTAACATGCTGTTTGTTAAAATAAATGTTACATATGTCATTTAACCACCGTTACAGCATACTGGTTTTGACCAAATGCTGTTGCCTTTCATCTACATAAACATTTTTACAAGTATTGTAATATCTGTAGCCTTAACATGAAATATTCGTCTTATTTCATATTTACTCAAGTCTAAGTCACTATACTTTATGCTCTTCTCAATATATGCACAGAATATGACCATAATGTAATAAAGAAAAAAATCTTTATATGAAGCATGTTAATCTGTATAACATGTGACAGGTACTGTGAGAATGAAATTAAATAGTACCTCAGCTTTATTCAAAAAATGTACAATGGCAATAATGTATAAATCCAAAACATTAAACCAGAATATGATCTTATGTCTGGTGCTCATCTAATGTATATTGTATACAAACCTTTGGGTAAGCGTTGATTATTAATATTAAAGTTATTATTAGATGTTTGACGATGAAATGCTTGCAAAACCCCTTTACATTTGGTCGTTCTTTTCTAACACCAGAGGGCATTTACCAAAAGACGGTTTATATAACTCAGGTTTGGGCTTAATCAGCCTAGCGAAAATTAATTGTATCAGGTTTTACAGTTTGTGTTGTATAGTTTGAACTGCATAGGAAAATATACGGACTATAAATGATGTGGGAAGGAAGGGACTGAGAGCTTGTCACTGTGTAAACTATCAATACAAATTCTTTTGCATCTGAATGGTTGTGATTCTTGTCCTGTTTATGACAAAAAAAATTGTTTTTAATGTTTTAATTCCAGCGTCTTAATTGGTCAATCGTGGCACTCTGTGGCCTGATGTGTACGACGAATTCGCTCTTGTTCACGGTTTATATCAGTCCGCTGATTCGCGTAGCCTAACTGAAAATAGTGCCATTAATGTCTGAAATTAGTCTCTCGTTTCATACAAACGCAACTGGCGCCATCTTGCGTCTCAATTATTAATTGTAGTAAAAAAAGTATATATATATATATATATATATATATGAGGACTTTATCAAAAATGTTATTGTAATTGATGTAGTGTTCGTCTTTTTACTAAGCCACCTGTTTTGTACATTTTGAGTTCACATAGATCGCATTCCCCTCCGCTGCTTTTCAGTTTTTCAATTGTTGGCATGCGCTAGACCTCTTCGACCGTTCCGTTCTCCTTTGCATCATCTCAAGAATTAAATTACGTTCTTAAAACGTTTTTACACACCCATCTACTAAGTGCATGTTTACACAGAAAAACAATGGAGCAATAGTCAACTGTGTAAACGGGCCCTTAACGGAATATTTTTCTTAGTGGAAACATAAGATTACACATGTTAAAGTGTAATTTCAACTATTCAACCATTTAAATTTAATGTCCACATATTTGGTGAGTATAATGACATAATGATTGTACACTATCCCTTACTTGTATAATCATTTTCATAAATTACACTTTTCCTTCAAATACATCCAAACCCAACTTTAAAAAAAAATCAATAAATAAAGACACTGAATGTCATTCCTGTTTATTTTGAGGTACTTACATTTATAGGTCACAATATAAATGCAATGTGTTTCAACGAGTGTTTCTGAGAGTCTGACAAAAACCACAAAACAGTGCCAGGAGCAGAAAGCAGTAACTCGGATACTACATAAATATTGTTAATTATGTTACAGTATATAATGAAGTATAGAAACAAACCTCTTCTGACCTCAGGCAATATTTGGGAATTCTGTTCTATAGTCAGACCACCTTCAACTGTAGTGGTCATTGTTTAAAAAAAAAAAAACTGAGCCATCCATGTCGTAGGCTGTAACAAAAAGGCTATATTTGGTACTTTATAGTTTAGAGTAGCTCTGAGTATTTGTTTTAACAGTAACTCAACACGAGATTGAACTGTTTAGTTTAAGTTTAGGATGGAAAAATATCAAAACGCCTGTGCTTCTGTTCGACCGCTGTTAGAAAAAACAAACTTCCCTCACTCAGCGCTGTGAATGAATACAGTCCGCGACAGATTCGTCCCATTTAGTGGTGTTTGCAAAGGCAGTGTCTTCTTCATCTGTCTCTTAGGCACTCAACAGCATGCAATGGGTGGACGTCCACCTTAATGGCAGTCTATGAGAGGAGCTCTTCACTGCTGCCTGATGAGCAAAGATGAGGAGAATTTTGATGAGAAAAGGAAAGAACTCCCCCAGCTTTCCTCTCTCCTCCGGGTCATTATGACGGTCCCTCTGTCCCCTGTTTATCCTGGCTCCTGGATGCCTCTGCTTCAGGGGCTGGAGATCCAGAAGCATCTCCCTCTACAAGACACAGATATGACAAACCTTTTTGCTACAACATTGCATGCCCAGTATATTCTCCAGCTAAACATTCTTAACAGGGACCTCGTGGTCATGGGAAAGTCTCAGGTTATTTCAGAGATAAAATGGTGCCAAGAATGTGAACTAAGGAAACTGGGTCAAATAGAAACAGATGCTGCTCTTATTCCAGTAGGAAAGAGTTGAAATTTGTCATACGAATAGGAAACGGTCAAGGAAGCAGTTATCGTTGAGAGGGCAGATAATAAATCTTTGTCATTGGTGACAGACTCCATTCAAACTCACCAAACCTATTCATGTTCAATCTGGACACTGTGACCTTGTAGAGCTGTATCCAGGATAAAGTGAGGGACGTTGTGAAAGAAAGGCAAGTGAAAGCCTTTGGTTCTCGTCCTCTTTTGTGAACGACACTTGTAATGCGTTCATGTATCACAGTCTTACCGTATTCACAAAGCAAGTCATTACAGGGGCCAAACTGATGCAGTGTTGCATAACAAATATGACCTGATAGACCACTGGCAGTCAGGAGACATTAGTGCTGTTCATGCGATGAAAGAGCAGATAGTTGTGCAGAATTACTAAAGTAAATTACTGCCGTCAGAATACCGAAAAACGTACTGAAGGAAATACCAGTGCAGAGTGTTTTTGCAAAGTTTTAAAGGTTAGCTTTCATATAGCGTTATATAGCCACTTTATATTACAGTTCACTTATAGTGTTACATTTTTCGTGTTTACATGACATATTTCAATGTAAAAAAGTATAGATGATCTAATAGATAAAATATAAAGGACTAATCGCAACTCTTTGTGCAAATAAATGCAAAACAGATGATATCATTTCTGTTATTAGGAACATTCTAACAAAGCAAAGTTTTATTCTTACATTCTTTGACATATAACATTAGTGCAAAACCACACACACACAAAAGCACATTAATAGACAAGAAGAACAAAAAGGAGGAGGATAAGCAGAAGTAGTTGAAGGTGGAGGAGAAGGAGAAGGGAGAAGGAAGGGAGGAAGAGGAGGAGAAGAAAAAGATGACAATGTTGAATAAGATGTAGGAGGAGGAGAAGGAAGTGTAGGGGGAGGCGGAGGAGAGAAGGAGACAGTGGTAGTTTAGGGGTTGTTGAAGGTGGAGGAAAAAGAGGAGGAGGAGAAGGTTTAAAAGAAGGAGAAGGAGAAAAAGAAAAAAGGTGGAAAAGGAGGATGAGGAGAAAAATTAGGAGGAGGATGACAAGACGAAGAAGAAGGAGAAGTAGAAGAATAAGAAGTATAGTAAGAGAAGGAGTTTTAGGAAGAGGGGAGAAAAACAGAAAATGAAAAAGAGGAATAAAGAGAAGGAGCTTTAATAAGAGGAGGAGAAGTAGTAAGAGAAGGAGGATTAGGAAGAGGAAGAGAAGAAGAAGAAGAAGAAGAAGAAAGGGAAGGGGGTTTAGGGAGAGGAGGAGAAGGAGGAGGAAGAGGAGGAGGAGGAGAAGTAAGAGAATGAGGTTTAGTAAGAGGAGGAGAAGTAGTAAGAGAAAGAGGATTAGGAAGAGGAAGAGAAGAAGAAGAAAGGGAAGGGGGTTTAGGGAGAGGAGGAGAAGGAGAAGTAGAAGTAGAAGAAGGTTTAGAGAAAGGAGGAGAAGAAAAAGAAGAAGTAGTAAAGGAAGGAGGTTTAGGGAGAGGAGGAGGAGGAGGAGGAGGAGGAGGAGGAGAAGGAGAAGAAGAAGAAGAAGAAGAAGAAGAGGAGAAAATAATAATAATATAAAGGAGGGGGGTGAATAAGGATGAGGAGACAGAGCAGAAGGATGAGAATAAGAGGAGGAGGAGGAGACAAAAGGAGAAGAAGAAAAAGGAGGAGACAGATAAGAAGCAGAAGAAGATAAAGAAGACAGGAAGAGAAGGACAACAAAAAGAAGAAGAAGGAGAGGTAGAAGAGGAGGAGCAGAACTCTGAATGAGGAGGAGAAGAGAATGTTGGAGGAATATCAATACAGCTGCTCCCTTGCAAGAAGTAGTGAAGCTGTGTGACGTACCTGCAGCTTTCAGGTCCATCTGAGCCATGTCTTTGGTTAGTTCACCGGTCTCCACTGCTACTCCCTCTCCCTTAATGTCTGGCACTGCGTTCCTACGACCTGTACGATCACAGTTTATGAAATCTGAATATGACGCCTCAACGTCCATCATCTGCTCACAAACTGCCCTCTCATTACACCTGAAAGAAACAAAAGACGACAAAAGATAGAACATTTACTGTCTGGTAAGAAAGCAAGCCAACAGTTTGACTAAAATCTCTTTTGAGTAACTCTATATAATGAGCTCTGAAAAGGACAATCCTAACACACAGAAAACCTGTGAATCTCTCAGTTCAGTAATGCCCATGACAGAACACGCCGTCTGATGAATTGGAGTAATTATTACTTCAGGGGCTCTATTTCAACGCTAAAGTTAATAGATTCAGCCGCTGAACTCATTTCATGGCCTAATTATATAAGAGAGCCAAAAGCATTCATCCAACCCTGGATGCATTCGTCATTCTTTTCATGCTTGTTTACACTCAGGGTTTCTTATGAGTATCAGTGCAAGCTTGCAAATGGAGCCTTATTGGCACGCAAACAAGAGATAAAAACCCAAAGCGATCGATTAGACACTTTTTGGAGCTCATCAAACTGCTTTCAGGAAGGAGAGTCATGGGTGGGCATTATGCTGAGAGAGGAAACCTCCCAGAGAAAGTATCCAAAACACATCAGCTAAGTGTCCCCCAAGTCAACATGCAAACCCCATTTACTTTAACCAGTGCTGGTGATAACGTCTCAAAAGTAACACGGTCATATTACTCCTTACACCATAATATCCTAATGACTTTTTCAATAAATATTTTAAAGTATAACTATAATTTAAGATAACCAGTTTCTATTTGAATACGTTTTAAAATGTAATTTATTCCTGTGATGCAAAGCTGAACTTTTTAGCAGACATTACGCCAGTCTTCAGTGTCACATGATGCTTCATTTTTTAATTTTTTATTTTTATTTGGTGGTCAAGAAACATTTCTTAATATCATCAGTGTTGAAATCATTGAGTTGTGCTGCATGGTATTTTTGTAGAATACAATTATTATAAAAAAAATAATAATTGTATTATATTAAATATAATATTAAATACAAAATATTAAAAATAAAGATTTATAAATGTCTAAAGCCAAGACTAGTGGAAAAAGTAATGCAAAAGTCACGTTTTTGCAAAAAATAATCAAATAAAAATAAATAAAGCAATGTTGCAATATTTTAAAACATAGTTATTAGTTCTATTTTTAGTACACTCTTAAAAATAAAGGTGTTTAAAAGGTTCTTCACAGCGATGCTATAGAAGAACCATTTTTGGTTCCACGAACCATTCAGTCAAAGGTTCTTTTAAAAAAAACA